AAAATTTTGGTACTCCTCAAATACATTCTGGTTAAATATAAAAGCTTCATCATCAGTAGCTTTCACTATTCAAATATTCTTTTCTTTCAGCAAATGACATTTATGCATGAGTAATGAGAATCATTAGCAAGAATTGCTTGCATTTACTTGGAAAAAGACATTTTTAGTATTCAGAATATCATACTGATGCTTTTATTTTATTTTTATTTTTTGCTTTGTTCCATGAAGGCTCTTCCTCCAGATCATTGTGAGGAAATTAAATAAAAATGTTTATTTTATTTTCTATGCTGAAAAAAAAAATCAGAGTGTCTCAATAGAGGCCTAAAATATCCTATTTTAATGTCTTGTTTTATCCTTAACAGAAATGGGTATGAAACAGGGAAATAAATACATTGATCAATCATGAAAGGAGGCATTTGTTAAACTAATATTCAAGTGCTCCTTTTAGTATTAGAGAGGATTTTATGGCCTCAGGCAATGTACGACGAACCCATTTGGGGTGGGTAATTGGTATGTTTTTCTTTTGTTTAAGTGAAAAAAGGGCTTACTGTAAGTATAGCACATGCTCTTAGAAAAATGTTAGGAAAGATTACATACAGAAGTTGAGGATTTGGGGAAGTGATTTTGTTAAGACTATCCATGTCTGTCCACAGATCTAAGTGAATGAAGCCAGCTTCAGTGTGGGGGAGGCATTAAAAAATGATGGAAACTCTGATGTGCTGGCTCACACATGTCCAGTCCAAAGTGAGATTACAACTACTCAGGTCCAGCTGTTTGTTCAGAGGGGATGTGACCAGGATTCCTGGATATTTGACTTAAGAGAAAATGGAAATCCAGGAATTTTTTTTTTGTGTGTGTGTGTCATCTCCTAATTTCTAAACATTTTAACTAATTCATATTTTAAACAACACAAACCAGTAGTATGCTCGCCAAATGAAACACATCAGTAGCCTAGCTATGCCCTGCTAGTCACTTTTGCATATAGGTTTCTGTATATGAACAATTTTTTGACCCAATTTTTTTCTTTTTTAAAATAAATTTTTGTTGATTTCAGAGAGGAAAGAAGAGGGAGAGATAGAAACATCAATGATGAGAATCATTGATCGGCTGCCTCCTGCATGGCCCCTATGGGGAATCAAGCCCACAACCCGGGCATGTGCCCTGACCAGGAATTGAACTCTGTAACCTCCTGGTTCACAGGTTGATGCTCAACCGCTGAGCCACACTGGCCGGGCCTGACCCAAATTTTATACCATATAAAGAGAATACCAACAAAGTTCACTCTCCTCAAAGTCTCTTTCCCCCTCCCCTACAAACTTGCTCTGTTTATTTGATGACTCAAGCCATAAACCTAGCAGGTCATTTTAGACACCTTCATCTCACTCAGACATTATATACCATACAACAACAAACTTTTCAGAAATATGTTTTGTTTTGTATTTAGCCCATCTTCTGTACTCTATGTAACCTCTGTCATCTTTTATCCAGATTATTATAGTAACCTCCAAATTAGTCTCCACACCTCTAGTATTTCCCTTTTTATACCCCCCCATACTCACACTTTCTTTCCGAAATGAATATATTATTATGTGATTTAAAAAAAACCCTTTGCCGATTATTAATTGTTTACAGATAAAAACTAAAGTTCTTAGCAAGGCTTATAAAGTTCATTTTGATCCAACCTCTGCCTATTGTCTGACATCATCATTTCTTGCCATGTTGCCACAGGGATGATTCTTAGCTATGCTAATTATTTCAGGTTCCCTGAGCTCATCATGGACTTTCTTACTTTAACACTTGACACATACTCTAAAAATATATAAACTTGGAGTAGTCTCCCCAGTTAGTCTGGATAACTCCTGGCCATTTCTGGAGACCTACTACAAAACTCTCTTCTTTCCTAAAGATTTTTTTGAGTCTTGTTTCTTTACTTTTAATCAGTTAGTTATTACTTTGCTACAAACAGTCCCTGGATCATACCCATATAGCACTTGCCAGAGTGTTTATGTGTGTTGCTTTCTCATATGTTGATTTCCCAGATGAACATGTAAACTATTAAAGGACAGGGATGGTATCTTTCTCATATTTGCAACTTCAGTGCTAAGTACAGGGTCTGTCAACTTAGTTATTAAAACTTCTCTCTAATGAATGAATGAATGAATGAGTGAATGAGTGGCCCTGATGTTCCATTGACAACACCCTCATTATCTGGATCATCTGGATTCTGTAATCAAACTAATCAGAGAGGGATTGATCAGCCTAGCCCACATTGTCAGATTGCTTGATGAAGGACAGCTACAAAAATGTATTTTGTCACACATAGGTGGAGCTCAACCATCTATTCTTACAGGCTTGGATAGCTGAGCCTGACAAAAGGTACCAGGAAAGGCATTAGAAAGAGTGAGGATTTGGAAGAAAAGAGCAATAGGAACTAGATCAGTGGTTCTCAACCTTCCTAATGCCGCGACCCTTTAATACAGTTGCTCATGTTGTGGTGGCCCCAATTTCATTGTTACAAATTGAACATAATTAAAGCATAGTGATTAATCACAAAAACAATATGTAATTATATATGTGTTTTCTGATGGTCTTAGGCGACCTCTGTGAAAGGGTCGTTCGACCCCCAAAGGGGTCGCGACCCACAGGTTGAGAACCGCTGAACTAGCTAGTAATGTTCCTTGAAAATAAAGACTATCAGGTATTCCCCTACTCCCTCAAATATTCAAATCTAGAGTGTATGTGTGTGCTTTGGGAGGCAACATAACCCTTGTCCAGACCTGAAATTGCACCAATTAATATCAGTTGCTGACTTAATGCATTTTTTAATGCCACTTGGAATAAATTAGTTTGAGTGAGATGTTATTTAGTTTTTTTATTGGTTGATTGGTTTTTAAGACACCCAGCCATCTGAGCAATTCAATAACATCAGAGCTGATAAACAGTATTCAGCTTGAGAATTTGAGGAAGAAGAAGGGTTGAATTATTGTCTTTTAAAACCCCTCTTGACAAAAGGGAAGGAAAGATACTGCTGAGTGAAGTATGGAGAAGTTTTCTAACATTAAAAATTTAAGTTAAAAAATTTAAAGTTAACATTTAAAAAATTTAAAAATCTATCCCCTCCCTCCCTCCTTCCTTCTCTCCCTCCTTCCCTCTCTCCCTTCCTTCCTTTCTATCTTTCTATCTATCTACCTATCTATCTAAAAGAAGATACATGAACTGATTTTTAAAGGAAAGAAAGTAAGGGAAACCAACATTTGATATGCTCTCTAGGTGTTAGAGTTCCGTGTTGGGTAGCCTGGTGGAGTAGAAGACACCTGGGCTTTGAGGTATTGGGGTCTGACTTGAATTTTGGCACTTTGCTGGTTAGCAACTATTTGTATTTCAGGAAGTTTTTAAAACTTCTCTAACCCCCAATTTTGCAAGGTTGTTGTAAGGAAAGTGTCTGAAACATAGTAAGTAAGTGTTCAATACATTTTAGTTTTCTTCCTTTAATCCACTGTGAAATAAATAACACAAATATTTAATATTTTGTATTAAGTAAAAGAAGTAGGACTGGAACTGTTTTTTGATTCCCAGTCCTAGAGGAATCTAGAAGTAATAATGACTTTAAACTGGGGTTAATTTGCCTACATTGGTATCTGAGAGATATTATTATTATTATTATTATTTTTTGCCCAAGCAGATCATCCCATTTGTATATTCTCTGTATTTCCTCTTCTCTAGTAGCCTCCCTGTGGGAAGAAGATCTCCTTCTTCCACTTCTGCCAGATCCTGACTGTGAGGACTGTCCTTGACCTGCCTGCCCATGTTTGTAGGTGTTTCCTGACTGTCCATAAACCTGGCCATGACTGGACCCTGAGTGTCCCTGTGAGCCTCCATGATACCTTTCATGTATATGTTCTAAGAAGGACTGATAACCAGTCAACCCTTAAAGCCTTAATTCTAGAGAAACTAGGGAAAGCCTGAAACGCATTTAAGTGATTGACAATCAGACGGTGATTCTCCATTTTGTCCTTTTCCTAATTGTTGTATTTCATTTATAGGCAGTAGGAGGACACAATATTTTTGTCAGTGTACTTCATGGAGAAATGAAAAAAATCAGCAATATAAGAGCAATTTAATATCTACCCTATCTAATAATAGACAAACATGGTAAATGATATTCTGAGCTGGATTGGCCTGTTTTAGATCCATGCTGGTCAAAGCCAGAAGATTGACCTGAACCAGATCTACGTTTTCCAGAGCTAGAGAAGTGTCCTGAACCTGATTGTTGATGATCAAAGCCTGAAGACTGAGTTGAACCTGACCCATATTGGCCATAGCCAGAAGACTGACCAGAACCAGACCCCTTTTGTCCAAAGCCTGAGGACTGGCCTGAGCCAGATCCTTGTTGGCCATAACCAGAGGACTGACCTGAGCCAGATCCATGTTTTCCAAAACCAGATGACTGTCCTGAGCTAGACCCGTGTTGTCTAGAGCCTGAGGACTGACCTGAGCCAGATCCATATTGACCATGGCCAGATGACTGACCTGAGCTAGACCTGTGTTTTCCAGAGCCAGAGGACTGACCTGAGCTAGACCTGTGTTTTCCAGAGCCTGAGGACTGACCTGAGCCAGACCCATATTGACCACGGCCAGATGACTGACCTGAGCCAGATCCATGTTGACCATGGTCATATGACTGACCTGAGCTAGACCTGTGTTTTCCAGAAGAGGACTGACCTGAGCTAGACCTGTGTTTTCCAGAGCCTGAGGACTGACCTGAGCCACACCCATATTGACCACGGCCAGATGACTGACCTGAGCCAGATCCATGTTGACCATGGTCATATGACTGACCTGAGCTAGACCTGTGTTTTCCAGAGCCAGAGGACTGACCTGAGCTAGACCTGTGTTTTCCAGAGCCTGAGGACTGACCTGAGCCACACCCATATTGACCACGGCCAGATGACTGACCTGAGCCAGATCCATGTTGACCATGGTCATATGACTGACCTGAGCTAGACCTGTGTTTTCCAGAGCCAGAGGACTGACCTGAGCTAGACCTGTGTTTTCCAGAGCCAGAGGACTGACCTGAGCTAGACCTGTGTTTTCCAGAGCCAGAGGACTGACCTGAGCTAGACCTGTGTTTTCCAGAGCCAGAGGACTGACCTGAGCTAGACCTGTGTTTTCCAGAGCCAGAGGACTGACCTGAGCTAGACCTGTGTTTTCCAGAGCCAGAGGACTGACCTGAGCTAGACCTGTGTTTTCCAGAGCCAGAGGACTGACCTGAGCTAGACCTGTGTTTTCCAGAGCCAGAGGACTGACCTGAGCTAGACCTGTGTTTTCCAGAGCCAGAGGACTGACCTGAGCTAGACCTGTGTTTTCCAGAGCCAGAGGACTGACCTGAGCTAGACCTGTGTTTTCCAGAGCCTGAGGACTGACCTGAGCCAGACCCATATTGACCACGGCCAGATGACTGACCTGAGCCAGATCCATGTTGACCATAAGAAGACTGACCTGAGCACACCCCCACCCTACCCCCCAGTGCATGAATTTCATGCACTGGGCCTCTAGTATTTAAATAATCTTTGGGAAATGGACATGTTTCCCTTGCAAATTCCATACTTTCTTGTGCTAGGTAGCTTCATAATACTAAGGGAAAACTTGTAAACTTCTATTGGTAACTCTGTGTACTTATAAGCAGAGCTTTAATCACTTTCGCTTACTATGCTTTCCAAAGATTCTATATAATAAAAGCCTAATATGCAAACTGACCAAACAGTGGAATGTCCAGTGGAACAACTGGTCGCTATGACATGCACTGACCACCAGGGGGCAGACACTCAACACAGGAGCTGCCCCCAGCCCACAGGGCCAGGCGGGCCAAGGCGGGTGCCAGCAGGACCCCCTCTTCCCTTCTGCCCCCTCCCCCTGCCTTGATCTCCCTGCTGGTTGTCCCACAGATTGGCCCTGATTGCCGGCCTAGCCTAGGGACCCTACCCATGCATGCTTTTGTGCACTGGGCCTCTAGTTAATAAGATGTAGCTTAAAATATGTTTCAGACTCCTACTTGTGTGCACGAGTTTCAGTTTTATATCCTACATAAGAGTAAAATCATATAGTTCTTAGTTTTTTTTCCTGACTTATTTGACTGAGCATAATATTCTCAAGGTCCATCCACGTTGTTGCAAATGGGAGTTTTTCATCTTGACTTATGGTTGAGTAACATTCTGTTGTGTATATGTACCATATCTTCTTTTTTTTTTAGAACAAATATTTAAAAAAATATTTTTATTGATTTCAGAGAGGAAGGGAGAGAGAGAGAGAGAGAGAGAGAGAGCGAGAGAAACATCAATGATGATAGAGAATCATTGATTAGCTGCCTTCTAATGCCCTACACTGGGGATCTAGCCCGCAACCCAGGCATGCACCCTGACCAAGAATCGAACCGTGACCTCCTGATTCATAGATTGACACTCAACCACTGAGCCATGCCTGCTGGGCTGTATCACATCTTCTTTATCCAATCCTCTATCGAAGGATACCTTCGATTGTTGGTTGTCTCCATGTCTTGGCCACCGTGAATAATGCTGCAACGAGCATAAGGGTGCATATATCTTCGCGAATACATGTTTTCAAGTATATACCCAGAAGAGGGATTGCTGGGTCATATGGTAGATCTGTTCTTAATTTTTTGAGGAATCATCAGACTGTTTTTCATAGTGGCTGTACCAGTGTACAGTCCCAGCAGTGATAAATGAGGGTTCCCTTTCCTCCACAACCTCTCCAGCACGGAGGGAAGGGGGTAGAGAGCTGGGGGCTAACGAGGGCCCTATCATATATGATGATAGACGATTATTTGACTTTGGGTGGTGGGCACACAGTGCAATATACAGATTTTATAATGTAGAAATCCACACCTGTAACCTATATGATCCTATTAATCAATGACACCCCAATAAATTTAATTTAAAAAAAAAAGGTTTAAGAGTCTGTGTGAATGGCCCTTCAGTAGTGCCAAAGTTTATTATTAGTGAGGCAGATGCCCTCTGCTGGCTTGATTCATTTTCAATCAAATCTAATTTTGCCTGAATCTTCTTCTTTTACTGTTTTTTCACTTTCTCTTGTCCATTGCCCCTAAGCTTATATGTAGACTCACCACTGATTGCATTAGAGTGGTCAACACAGGTTTCACTCAGCATGTATTATTATTAACGAACTATAGAAATGATCCCTGAAAGTATAGTCTTAGCATGTATTATTATTATTGCTTTAAAAAAATATTTTTATTGATTTCAGAGAGGAAGGGAGGAGAGAGAGATAGAAACCGGGAATCGATCCATAACCTCCTGGTTCATAGGTTGACAGCTCAACCACTGAGCCACGCTGGCTGGGGGAGCATGCAGTATTTTTTTTTAAATTGAATTTTATTGTTTAAAGTATTACAGATAGTAGTACATATGTCTCCTTTTTTTTTTCCCCATTGACCTTTCCCCAGCCTCCCCTACTCCCCGGCACATGCCCTCACGCCGCCCCCCTCTCCCCCGCCCTGTGTCTTATGTCCATTGGTTATGTAGTATTATTTTAGATCTTTTCTGGTTATCAAAAACTCCTGGAACATTTACATTTCAATAAGCAACCGATGCATGCCAGGTGTCTAGTACACACCTTCAAGTTCCCACATTCAAAGGTCATTTTTATCTAGAAAGTTTGACGAAAGAAGAATTTTATCTTTGTTTCTCCTAATTTGGCCACTGAAACCAGGCATGTGTCCCCACCAGGAATTGAACCTGCAACCTTTGGGTGCACAGGATGATGCCCATCCAACTGAGCCACACTAGCCAGGGAATGGACTATATTTTTAATCATTTTTCTTCGACTGGAAAATTTAGGACACGATTAGCCTCCATTGGCAGTGATATTTCAATTAATATCTTTGACAGAGAGAGTTTGTGGTGCATGACTCATTTCCAGAGCTTGGGTTGTCTCAGGGTATAGCGCTTAGGATTATGTGTGATGATTGCTGTGATGATCATTATTAACAAAGCATCTGAGGTCAACCCATCAGTATAAAGAATTTCTTTCTGTAAATGATTTGGACAGTAATTACATTGAGGAAAAGATGAGATCAGATGTAATTAAGTTTATTGAGTTTTGCCTTCTTTGAATTCCCTATTGTTGGTATCTGATGCTTTACTGCCATCTAGGTGTTCAGAGGTAGAAGGAAATGTGCATTTGACCTCATGACAGGGATCTTTGTGTTTGTGAGGATGAAAGAGAAGCAAAACTGTAACTTGATGAAAGTTTATTGTCAATTATTTGCAGTACAATTTTCTGGATCCTATATCCAGGAGGTCATGAGAATAAATTCAAAAGTAGTAGTACAGAGTTCCAGAGGTGGCACAAAAGAAGCGATTCTTCTGAATCTTCAATACCATAACATTCTTTGCTTAGTACATGGAATATGTTACAATGCTATTAGAGAAAATTTGGCTCCCGAACCATGTCTCTTAGCTTTCTGCATAGGGTTGTCAATAAATAATTGAAATAAAACTGGAAAATCTAAAATTTGAATTTCAGAAAAAAAATTTTAAATGCCCATTTTATCCCAAAGCATGCAAATCACTTTTGTCATATAGTATTAAATATAGTCCCAAATGCCATTTAGTTCTTCCATTCACTGTTTTTCAGCCAAAGAGCTCAATAGTTAAGGAGCCTTACAAAAAAAAACACCACTTTGCACCGAACAAAAGAGTAGCACAGTTAAAATATGTATACCTCCACTACCAAAAGAAGGGATCACGTTAAATATCTTAATTGCATGTGTATGGAATTTCTTCTTTGAGTTAGTTCTTATTTTAAGTTAGTTTTCTATTAACTTCAAATGATTATTCAAAGTAATAGTACTTTTGCTCTTGGATATATTGATAGAGTGGGGTGTTGCTATCTAAATGAGAAGGACCTACGTCTGTTCTTCCCCTTCTATGGTAACCCCTGGTTTCAGAGTCTCTTGCTTGCTTATCATATGCTGACTGTGTCTTCTGATGCTCCCTAACATCCTTGATCCTGACTCTTGCTTTTGCTTACCCCGGCTCCATCCAGTTGTACTGCTTGATGAATACCTATATCTATATCTATACTGTATGATCTTGGATCTGAAGAGAGTGACTGGAAATGGATCTTTCACTTTTGCTTCTGCTGTCACTTGCCTGTCCATAGCTATCACTTGAATGGCCATGGCTATATACTTGCCTTTCATTGGTATTGAATCCAGATTGATCTGGACATCTCTGGATTGTCCATGACTTGATTCCTGTCTTGCTAAACTTATGCTAGAGTCTACCTGATCTTGAGAAGATGTATCTCCGAAATGCTGTTGACTGGATTCATGTATATCAATTGTATTGAAGTCTGACTGTCTGTGCCTAGATCCTGATTGTTTATTAATCTGTTTCCCCCAATCTTCTGGACGCACTTTACTATTATTATGGGATCCCTGCCTAAAAGTTGAACTAGATTCTGAATGGCTATGAACTGACACTTGCTTGTTTTCAGTTCTGTTCCTTGGCCTAATAGGGCTAGAATTGTGACTGCTTGTTTGACTTACCCCCTGAAGGTCCATACCCAGATTGCCCATAGTCATATCCTGCACTTCCATAGCTACCGTGTCTCCATCTTTGACTTGATCGACGATTTTGTCTTCCTGCTGCCTGCCCATGTTTGTAGGTGTCTCCTGACTGTCCGTAAGCCTGGCCATGACTGGACCCTGAGTGACCCTGTGAGCCTCTGGAATGCCTTTCACTGCCACTGGACTCACTGTGACTAGATCTCCTTCTTCCACTTCTGCCAGATCCTGACTGTGAGGAATGTCCTTGACCTGCCTGCCCATGTTTGTAGGTGTCTCCTGACTGTCCATAAGCCTGGGCATGACTGGACCCTGAGTGTTTTTGAGAGCCTCTGGAATACCTTTCACTGCCACTGGACTCACTGTGACTAGATCCCCTTCTTCCACTATGATATTCTGAGCTGGATTGGCCTGTTTTAGATCCATGCTGGTCAAAGCCAGAAGATTGACCTGAACCAGATCTACGTTTTCCAGAGCTAGAGAAGTGTCCTGAACCTGATTGTTGATGATCAAAGCCTGAAGACTGAGTTGAACCTGACCCACAGTGTTTTCCAGAGCCTGAGGACTGACCTGAGCCAGACCCATATTGACCACGGCCAGATGACTGACCTGAGCCAGATCCATATTGACCATGGTCATATGACTGACCTGAGCTAGACCTGTGTTTTCCAGAGCCTGAGGACTGACCTGAGCCAGACCCATATTGACCACGGCCAGATGACTGACCTGAGCCAGATCCATATTGACCATGGTCATATGACTGACCTGAGCTAGACCTGTGTTTTCCAGAGCCTGAGGACTGACCTGAGCCAGACCCATATTGACCACGGCCAGATGACTGACCTGAGCCAGATCCATATTGACCATGGTCATATGACTGACCTGAGCTAGACCTGTGTTTTCCAGAGCCTGAGGACTGACCTGAGCCAGACCCATATTGACCACGGCCAGATGACTGACCTGAGCCAGATCCATATTGACCATGGTCATATGACTGACCTGAGCTAGACCTGTGTTTTCCAGAGCCTGAGGACTGACCTGAGCCAGACCCATATTGACCACGGCCAGATGACTGACCTGAGCCAGATCCATATTGACCATGGTCATATGACTGACCTGAGCTAGACCTGTGTTTTCCAGAGCCTGAGGACTGACCTGAGCCAGACCCATATTGACCACGGCCAGATGACTGACCTGAGCCAGATCCATATTGACCATGGTCATATGACTGACCTGAGCTAGACCTGTGTTTTCCAGAGCCTGAGGACTGACCTGAGCCAGACCCATATTGACCACGGCCAGATGACTGACCTGAGCCAGATCCATATTGACCATGGTCATATGACTGACCTGAGCTAGACCTGTGTTTTCCAGAGCCTGAGGACTGACCTGAGCCAGACCCATATTGACCACGGCCAGATGACTGACCTGAGCCAGATCCATATTGACCATGGTCATATGACTGACCTGAGCTAGACCTGTGTTTTCCAGAGCCTGAGGACTGACCTGAGCCAGACCCATATTGACCACGGCCAGATGACTGACCTGAGCCAGATCCATATTGACCATGGTCATATGACTGACCTGAGCTAGACCTGTGTTTTCCAGAGCCTGAGGACTGACCTGAGCCAGACCCATATTGACCACGGCCAGATGACTGACCTGAGCCAGATCCATATTGACCATGGTCATATGACTGACCTGAGCTAGACCTGTGTTTTCCAGAGCCTGAGGACTGACCTGAGCCAGACCCATATTGACCACGGCCAGATGACTGACCTGAGCCAGATCCATATTGACCATGGTCATATGACTGACCTGAGCTAGACCTGTGTTTTCCAGAGCCTGAGGACTGACCTGAGCCAGACCCATATTGACCACGGCCAGATGACTGACCTGAGCCAGATCCATATTGACCATGGTCATATGACTGACCTGAGCTAGACCTGTGTTTTCCAGAGCCTGAGGACTGACCTGAGCCACACCCATATTGACCACGGCCAGATGACTGACCTGAGCCAGATCCATGTTGACCATAAGAAGACTGACCTGAGCTGGAACCATGTTGACCATAACTAGAGGACTGACCTGAGCCGGAACCATGTTGACCATAACTAGAGGACTGACCTGAGCCGGAACCATGTTGACCATAACTAGAGGACTGACCTGAGCCGGAACCATGTTGACCATAACTAGAGGACTGACCTGAGCCGGAACCATGTTGACCATAAGAGGACTGACCTGAGCCGGAACCATGTTGACCATAACTAGAGGACTGACCTGAGCCGGAACCATGTTGACCATAACTAGAGGACTGACCTGAGCCGGAACCATGTTGACCATAACTAGAGGACTGACCTGAGCCGGAACCATGTTGACCATAACTAGAGGACTGACCTGAGCCGGAACCATGTTGACCATAACTAGAGGACTGACCTGAGCCGGAACCATGTTGACCATAACTAGAGGACTGACCTGAGCCGGAACCATGTTGACCATAACTAGAGGACTGACCTGAGCCGGAACCATGTTGACCATAACTAGAGGACTGACCTGAGCCGGAACCATGTTGACCATAACTAGAGGACTGACCTGAGCCGGAACCATGTTGACCATAACTAGAGGACTGACCTGAGCCGGAACCATGTTGACCATAACTAGAGGACTGACCTGAGCCGGAACCATGTTGACCATAACTAGAGGACTGACCTGAGCCGGAACCATGTTGACCATAACTAGAGGACTGACCTGAGCCGGAACCATGTTGACCATAACTAGAGGACTGACCTGAGCCGGAACCATGTTGACCATAACTAGAGGACTGACCTGAGCCGGAACCATGTTGACCATAACTAGAGGACTGACCTGAGCCGGAACCATGTTGACCATAACTAGAGGACTGACCTGAGCCGGAACCATGTTGACCATAACTAGAGGACTGACCTGAGCCGGAACCATGTTGACCATAACTAGAGGACTGACCTGAGCCGGAACCATGTTGACCATAACTAGAGGACTGACCTGAGCCGGAACCATGTTGACCATAACTAGAGGACTGACCTGAGCCGGAACCATGTTGACCATAACTAGAGGACTGACCTGAGCCGGAACCATGTTGACCATAACTAGAGGACTGACCTGAGCCGGAACCATGTTGACCATAACTAGAGGACTGACCTGAGCCGGAACCATGTTGACCATAACTAGAGGACTGACCTGAGCCGGAACCATGTTGACCATAACTAGAGGACTGACCTGAGCCGGAACCATGTTGACCATAACTAGAGGACTGACCTGAGCCGGAACCATGTTGACCATAACTAGAGGACTGACCTGAGCCGGAACCATGTTGACCATAACTAGAGGACTGACCTGAGCCGGAACCATGTTGACCATAACTAGAGGACTGACCTGAGCCGGAACCATGTTGACCATAACTAGAGGACTGACCTGAGCCAGAACCATGTTGACCATAAGAAGACTGACCTGAGCCGGAACCATGTTGACCATAACTAGAGGACTGACCTGAGCCAGAACCATGTTGACCATAAGAAGACTGACCTGAGCCAGAACCATGTTGACCATAACTAGAGGACTGACCTGAGCCGGAACCATGTTGACCATAACTAGAGGACTGACCTGAGCCGGAACCATGTTGACCATAACTAGAGGACTGACCTGAGCCGGAACCATGTTGACCATAACTAGAGGACTGACCTGAGCCGGAACCATGTTGACCATAACTAGAGGACTGACCTGAGCCGGAACCATGTTGACCATAACTAGAGGACTGACCTGAGCCGGAACCATGTTGACCATAACTAGAGGACTGACCTGAGCCGGAACCATGTTGACCATAACTAGAGGACTGACCTGAGCCGGAACCATGTTGACCGTAAGAAGACTGATCTGAGCCGGAACCATGTTGACCGTAACTAGAGGACTGACATGAGCTAGAACCATGTTGACCGTAAGAAGACTGACCTGAGCCAGAACCATGTTGACCATAACTAGAGGACTGACCTGAGCCAGAACCATGTTGACCATAAGAAGACTGACCTGAGCGGGAATCATGACCATAACTAGAGGACTGACCTGAGCCGGAACCATGTTGACCATAACTAGAGGACTGTCCTGAGCCGGAACCATGTTGACCATAACCAGAGGACTGTCCTGAGCTAGACCCGTGTTGTCTAGAGCCTGAGGACTGACCTGAGCCAGACCCATGTTTTCCAAAACCAGATGACTGTCCTGAGCTAGACCCGTGTTTCCCAGAGCCTGAGGACTGGCCTGAGCCAGATCTGTGTTGGCCATAACCAGAGGACTGACCTGAGCCAGAACCATGTTGTCCAAAACCAGATGACTGACCTGAGCTAGACCCGTGTTGTCTAGAGCCTAAGGACTGACCTGAGCCAGATCCATATTGACCATGGCGAGATGACTGACCTGAGCTAGACCTGTGTTTTCCAGAGCCTGAGGACTGACCTGAGCTAGACCTGTGTTTTCTGGAGCCTGAGGACTGACCTGAGC